CTTGTAGATTACTTTCCTGAATATGACGGTAAGTTTAAAAATATTGTGATATATTGTTTTTCCAAATCTATACGGTGAGGTATGAAAAGGATGATCAATCACAATGTGTTTATTAGCTGATGGACTGATGGTCTTTCCATTGCTCTGCTAAAGCATTGCTATATTATTGTTCATACTTCAGGTTAGAAGTTATTTTAAGTAAAAGCTCTGATCAGTTTCCGGATGACCAAGTTAACCCAGATCGATCTATTGTTCTCTCTAAGGACCCCAGAGAGACGCTCAAGCCGCAAGGGAATTCATCCTGAAGATGTTTATCGACCTGAATCCAGACTCCGAAAAAATCATTTACTCTCATTTCACCTGCGCCACTGACACCGAAAACATCCGATTCGTGTTCGCTGCTGTCAAGGACACCATCTTGCAGCTCACACTGAAGGAATACAATCTAGTCTGAACAACGGCCGCTTATGGGTTTGGTCAGTGTCTTGCCGGGTTAAAGGACTCATCAGTCTGCAGCTAGAGTCTGCCGTAATGCTGTGAGCCATTAAAGTCTGCTTTAACCGTTCGAGCGGTCGGCTGTCCCTGATTCTGCTCTATGAAATTGGACACACAAGTTATTTCTATCTGCTCACTGCTTCGTCATTATTTATTTGCACCTAAGAGCTACTTCACAGGGTTCAACTTGAATGTTATAATTCCATTTGAATGAAAAATGTTATGTTATTGAACTGATTTTTTTAAGGTTTATTCTGTAGCAGGTTCTTCAAGTTGTACACATTGAGCTGCTTGCTATAAATGTTATGTAGATTTCTCTAACTTGGACATATTAATTATTCTGTGTGGTGAGGTTATTAGAAAGCAATGAAAAGTACTTCTATATTGTAACATGGTATTGTTTTTTTAAGAGTCAGAGCAAGTTTAGTAGATAAGGGTCTTTCCTCATTTCCAAGGCACATGCAATGGTAAAGAATAGATAACAGCTAGTTTACATTAACATTTACATGAATAATGCCAGAGTTCTTCTAATGTGACTTTTATTTACTGCCAAGCTAATAATCATGCCACAGGTAATAACTTGCCTTTGCCAGTATCGCTTATTTCTGTACCATACCAGCTCTTTGTAATTTTTCTTCTCATTGTGTTCTTGGAACAGATGATTGTACATCTGCTCTTCAAGACCTGGTCCATTAAGATCAGCAGTGTTCCACAACATCAAGCCTGAACGATGTGCCAAGAGAGCCGATTCCTGTGTAATCATCCTACAAATGTGCCATTCGGAGATTTTCTGTAACACTTGCATACATTTTGATTTTTTCGTAATAAATTACCCAACACCTGTTCTCAGTGAGCCAATGATGCTCTTACTGCTGTTGTACTGACTTGACAGTGTGGTTAGTGTGGTGTAATCAAGCTTTGGTCAATATTTGCAGTTGTTTTTTTTAAAGACAGTACAGATTTGTAAAGAGTATCATGTGACTAGATGCGTGTCAAACAAATGAATGTTTTGTGTTGAGCCAAGAGTAAAGGACCAAATTACTGTTTGGGGGGGTTATCACTGTTAGATTTTCTGCTTCAAAACTTTTTTTTTCTTTCTTTTTTTTGCAATAAAAGGCTGCTATTTTAGAGAGAATTGTATAAAATTTGCTGTCCAAATGTAACAACAACAAAAAAACAATAAAACCCTAAATCGTCTGTTGGACACTTCAAATTACATAGATGTTATTTCAATAAACAACATATCAAACCAAGTGGCATTTGTTTTTAAGAGAGATTTTAAGCACAGCCATGCATTTTGATCAAAATGTTTCACAAAAGAACAATAAAATAGTAGATATACTGTTGAGGGAAAAAAAGCATTTTATGGATGTTATTTACTCTGCAAGGACACCTCAGGAGTTAGTTCTGAGAAGAACTCAAGCACCATTTTTTTTTTTTTTTTTCAGATGTCTGCTGGTTTGAGATTTTGTTCGATGAGATGACATTCAGACAAAGTTGTGTGACATAAGTGTCAAAACATTTAAAAACATTACATTTAAATAATATCTGTGAGTCTGAAAGTAAAACAGTCAAACGTATTGCATCTAACTGATCTGTGTCGGTTCAGTAAGTTAATAAATGCACCTAATGATTTAGTTGTTCAGTGTTTAAAACCGGTTACAGAACAGGTTTGCTGAGACATGGCTGATCTCTGCTGAGATGCTTACTACAATAACACAATTCGTGGAACCTTTATACATGGCATAGGACCGAGGACCTTCATTCATATCAGATATGCTCACTGAATATTAGCAGACCACTCAGATAATCAGGATCAAAACCCATCTGTTTCACTGTGCATTTACTGAATCAGCATTGTGATGTGTTATGATTATTTCTAAATCCTTTTCATGTGAAGCACTAATTACTATTGCGAATGAACTGTGCTAAATAAACTTGCATTACCTTCCATTGTATATTTTGAGAGACACAACTATTAAATGTATTTAGCAAATACGCTTAAGTGCAATAGTTTAATAAGTTCTGTGCTAGACTGGACCTGCTATTTATACTGTTTAATAGCATGTTTTTGTTCATACTTCCTCATTCCATCTTAAAAGTGTTGCATAAGTGTGCTGTGACACAAGACACCTTACACTCTTAAATATACAGTCAGATGCCACAGAAGAATTTGTTCAGACTTTATTTTTTATTTTCTAGTTCTTTACATGCCCATCTACTGCTTTAAACCCCAGAAACCAGTATAAGTATCCTGTAATGCAGGACCTTCCTTTTAACGGCTATCTCTTACTGTGAAATTGTATTTTTCCTTACAGCTCATTAGGTCACTCATAGCATCATATACTAGATGAGCCAGTTTGTTTCTATCAGAAAACGTAATCACATGCACATACATTTTGTTCCTCAATTTCATTTTGGGGGATGTAATGTGAGGAATATTCCATGTGTAACGTAGCATGGAATTCTGTGCTATATTAACAAACTTGTTTTTCAAAATGTTTACATTTGACTTTTTTTCTTTGTTACTGTACTTAAAGGGATAGTTCACCCAAGTTCTGTCATCAATCAAAGCCTGTACTGAAGCAAAATAAAGTGGCATACAGTTAACCAAAATGTCTTTTAAGGCTATTTTAGCGAAATAATGTCTCCTTTATCAACAGAAGGTCTGCTAATGTATACGTTTTATATTTATTCATAAATTTATTCATATTCATCTATTCATTAATTTGATTATTTTTGGTACATTTCATTATTGTTTCTCGAAATATACTCATTTTATGCTCTCTGTGTTTTTTCAGTGGATAAATATTTACAATAAGGTTCATTAGTTAACATTAGTTAACTACTTTAGTTAACATGAACTAAGCATGAACAATACTTCTAGAGCATTTATTAATCTTAGTTAATGTTAATTTCAACATTTACTAATGCATTATTAAAATCGAAACTTCTTGTTAACATTATTTAATGCACTGTGAATTAACATGATCTAACAATGAACGACTGTGTTTTCGTTAACTGACATTAACAAAGATGAATAAATACTGTAATAAATGTATTGTTCATTGTTTGTTCATGTTAGTTAATAAATGGACTACTATATATCTCTATATATATTTATATATATATATATACATATATATAAAAGAAAGAAAGAAAGAAAGAAAAACAAATCAGTTATTGTGCTCACATGGATGTACATGGTTATAAATAATAATACTGAAATTCAACAACTGTCTTACTGTAACAAAGTGCACTGTTATATTGACAACATGACTAAGCATTTTGACTATCTTGTTTGTGAACAATGACACAAGGACTTTTCATTCTGATGGCACCGATATGTGCATTGACATAAATAGTTACTTTTGAGAGATGAACTAAAGATTTTGAGTAAGTTACAGGCTTTTGCAGGTGATCCATAGTGTGGTGCTGTTTGTACAAATTGTTTTGAGAAATGCACATACTTCTTTGCAAATATTAAGGATGATTCGAGAAATGCACCAAAGCGACTGAGAAAACTGTAATAAAGACTACACTTGTTTCCACAGTTTTTATTCTGTTGCTAGAGCACATGTACTCTTTTCGTTGAGAGAATTGCTTGAAAAAGAACATACTGTATTTACATTCATGTATAACCGTATGGTACGCTATAATCCTATAATGCTGTTCTCTGCCTCTGGCGGTTTCAAATGTGATAAAAGTTCTTCTTAAAATTATAATTTTGGTCCATTTTGCCTTGCTGAAAAAAAAAATTAAACCAGTCTAAACTGGGTTGTTGCTCTTAGCTGGTTTAAGTTGATCTTAACAGGTTAGGCTGGTCTCCCAGTCTGGACAAGCTGGTGTTTAGCTGGTTTAGCTGGGCTCCTGATCTGACCATCTGAAAAGTGCCCAAAACCCCTCAAATATCAGTCAACAAACCAGATTTGTTTATTGCCATTTTGAGCATGAGGCGTAATGCTACAAGTTCCTTTTATGCAACATGATCTCCAGTGTTAGTCTTATGCGGACAAGGTGCACAAGAATAATAAAAAAACTATTAAAAAAAACCCTATATATATATATATATATATGTATAATATAATTTATTTATTTATTTTTGTCCATACAATAGAAGTCAATGAGTACCAAAACTGTTTGATTAAACATTCTTCAAAAACTGTGTGTGTCTGTGTGTGTGTGTTCCACAGACGAATGTTACACAGTTTTAAAATGGCATTCTTCTTTTTTTTTGCTCATAATTTGGGCTTTTTTTTGTGTGTGTGTTTTAATAGAAAGCAATTGAAATTGGTGCAGAGGAAAAAGGAACTAATGCCTTATGTGACACTACCCACCTCCATTCATTGAACGAGGAAGAAGCTTCACCTGTAAACTGCAGTACATCACGCTGGTCCTGAGGTAGGCGTGTTCCCATAGGCTTTCTTAAAGACGTTTTAACACTGGTGAGCGACTGGATGAATGTGTTAACTGCAAAGTACTGGAGAAGGTTCAAGCTGTTCAGGATGGGGGACTGCTGCTTGTCAGGTGAAGACAGAGAAAGCATCAGGATTCACCAAGAAATTGAGAGACAGCTTAAGATGGATAAGCGGGATTTTTTTGTGACACCTAAAAAATTTGTAATGGTCAGTTGAAATAATTTGAGTTGTTCAGCATCTTAAAACAATCTGAAAACAGTCATTTATTGACATTAAATTATTACCATTAATTACAATTAAATTGTCAGATGATATGTGCTACAGCTTTTATGCAATATTTATAAGGCTTACAAAATTCACACTTCAAATGTTTAGATGACATATTTCCTGACTGTTAGCGGCCACATGCAAATATATGCAAAAGGATGTCAATGGAAATTCATTCAGTCTCACACAGTATAGCAGTATTTTTTTTTCTCTGCATTTAATGAAACTAAAATGCAAGTAAGCATTGCCAAGATATTTACAAAAAGCATGCAAACAGGAACAATGTGTGAATTCCTAACTACTGATAGGATCAGCTCCATCACGTCTTATGTGTACTTGCATCATAACCAGTTATTCATGTGTTTCAGTTAGTTTATATTTTCCTTGATATCTACTTATGTATTTTGCGCTAAATTTTAGGTTAAGTTTATTTCGAATCAGTTGGGTCAATACCAGTTTAACAGAAGAACAGATGAATGAGCTTGTCCAGTGTTTCCTTGTTTTAACCATGATAACAATCTCTACCCTTTTAGCAAAACTCCCGATTGTCAGACCTGTCTGGCACGTAATAGATACACATCCAGCACTGCAATGTCTGAATGGTTTTTGCGTGTGTGCGTGTGGCATCATACTTGGTTATGTGTTATCAAAGTCAACAGACTGCGTTTGGTGTTCTGTATGGTTTTGGAGCTCTTTAGTGGCATGACGGTTCACGTGCGCTGCCCCTTTGCCTCAGTTCAAGCGAAGCAGGAGTGCATTCTAATTAGCATGAAATAAATATGAATGAACATCCGAGGAAAGGTTTTAGGTTTCCTGAACAACATTTACAAAATTAATTCACTGTGTAAGTTAATGTTAGATCTTTTGCTCCAACCGCTGGTTAATCAGATGATAGAAATAAGTTCCAATAGACTAACATTTGAAGTTACGGTAGGAATGTATAGCTAATGTGTTGTAATGTGAAGTAATCAGCAATCATAGGATTTATTCATGCTTTTTTATGCTAGGTTAGAGTTATACACTGATTCTCTGTTATGGTCTATGGACTCCCTGAATTAGCCTTGGCCACGCCATGTATAAAACTCTAGCTCCGCCACTATTTTGTTGAACGATAGTGTCTAAGTATAGTTGTTTAACTATGGTTTCATATTAATGCAAATCATATTCAAACCATTCACACCTTACTGGCAGATCATTTTGTTCACACAATCACAATATTCATATCCTAAGGCAAACATGCAAATTTGAAAATCCATACTAGGAGTCTTTGTCTGGTCTCTGTGTGTTTCTAAAAATGAGCATGAGTGAATAGATCATTTCCCTTCATATTTTTGTAAGAGAGAATTTCTGTTGCTGAAGGTTACTATGAATATCTGCAAAATAACAGTTTGAACACTAACGTTATTAAGGGATTCTGTCGTATTCATCCTTATGTTGTTACAGACTCATAGGACTTCCTTTGTTTGGTGTAACAAAAAAGGAAGACATTTTGAGGAATGACCAAGCTGTTTTTCACGCCACACCAAATTTGAATATGTAGAATGCACATGAGTTACAACAACGGTGACAGAGAGATGACTATTAGAATCAGATCAGAATCAGTGATGCGAACTTCAGGAAATATGAGACAAATTCAAATTTAGCTCTAGTGTCATTTTTCAGCTCAAGTTAGTTCAATGTTGATTCAGTTCAGTTCAATAGCTTCAAAAAACATATACAGCAGCTTTAAATTCCACCAGAACAGGAATGTTGTAATGAAGGATGTATGAAAAAATGTCAGATCAATGTAATCAGTTCTCATCATACCAAGTTCAGAACTGAGATGGGAAAAAAAAAACTGCAGCAATACTGCAGTGGTCTTTGAAGCTTTACCGCTGGCATTAAAGTGAATATTTATTTTAAAGAAAAAAGAAAAATCTGTCATCATTTACTCACCATAAAGTTGTTTGCAACACATACGAAATGCAAGAAAAAGCAAAAAGAGTCACTTAGTGACTCCAGGCTATTCTTTTCAACACAAACTGGATTGTGATTAGACAAAGCTTTGGTTAATTTTTGGTCTCAATACTAATGGTCTCAAAACTATTCATGTACTGTAGCTACACAGTAACCATCTAATGCATGATGTCTTACAGCAAAAACTTTCCATGTCCTTCGACAGGCACGGGGGAGAGCGGGAAGAGCACGTTCATCAAGCAGATGAGAATCATACATGGCAGGGGCTACACAGAAGAGGACAGGATGGCCTATGCCAAGCTGGTGTTCCAGAATATCTTTGTTTCCATTCACAACCTGCTTCAAGCCATGGAGCACCTGAATATCCCTTTTGCTGATGAAAAAAACAAAGTATGCACCAGGAATTCCAAGACAAAGCATATGTTTTACTAGACATGTTAAATATCGTCAGTAAATAAACATGTATTAGCTCTCTCCCATCAAAACTAAAATCGTATCTGTGTGTGTCGTAGACATATGCTGCAATGCTTAACAGTGTGATCCCAGAAACAGTACAGTCACTGGAGCCTAAACATGCTGAAGCCATCAAGAGTGTGTGGAAAGACCAAGGCCTGCAGAAATGCTTTGAACGCAGGAGAGAGTTCCAGTTATCAGACTCTACCAAATAGTGAGTGCAGTGAATATTTCAGTTCTCACACTGACAAAAAGTACTATTGTACTATTTTTTAGTACTATTAGTACCAGTACACTTGTACATTTTAGATATGGCACCATAATAATGTAATAATGTGTTTTTTCCCCATTAGACTTAGTGTTTGTTGTATTCTTTGGAATGCCATGTTAATACCATGGTATCTTAATATGGTAATCATTGCATACCATGGTACCTGTAGCACAGACTGTAGTGCAAAGCCAAGGTCATTGGTTTGATTCAGGGAATTCATGAAATGTATGCAACACAAGTCACTTTTCATTTTAATACACAATCTATCCTTTTACTATTTTACTAGTCAACTTTCTATTTTACTAGTCTATCTGTGGATAGATAAATAGAAAATAATTATGACATATGGCTAGGGTTGCAAAGGGGTGGAAAATTTCCGGAAACTTTCCCAAAATCCCTGGAATATTCAAAAAAAAAATCCTGGAAAGTTTCCAAAATTTCTGGAATGTTTCCGAAACTTACTGGAAATTTTCCACCGTTTTGCAACCCTACATATGACATGATATTTTAATTTAAAAAATATGTCTTGCTTTATCATATGAAATCGAAACATTCCTTTATTTTGTGTCGAGTTTTGGTGGCCATTCAGGGTTTTGGACAAATAATTGAAAAGGAGTTTTCCCGGTTTCTCCAAGTCTGTTTTGTTTCTGTTTACCAGTTACCTCGATGACATTGACAGAATATCTGTAGCCTTTTACTTGCCGACGATTCAGGATATTCTGCGAGTCCGAATTCCAACCACAGGCATCATTGAGTACATCTTTGACCTCCAGACAGTCATATTCAGGTAACTGTTAATTGTGGTGGTGTGAAGATGGACGACTGACTCTTACCCATTTTGTAATTCAAAACCACTTGTTTTTGTAGAATGGTGGATGTTGGAGGCCAAAAGTCAGAGAGACGGAAGTGGATCCATTGTTTTGAAAACGTTACTTCCATCATCTTCCTGGTGGCTCTGAGCGAGTACGACCAGGTCTTATATGAGTGTGCCAATGAGGTTAGTCACTTCCTTGAATTGTCTTAGTAGCTTTTCTGGGTTATTATCCCCCGGTTTCACAGACAAGACTTAAGCCTAATCCTAGACTAAAATGTAAGTCTGAGTTGTTTCAACTGAAAGAAACTTGCACTGACTGATCTTAAAATATATCAGTGCCTTTGATTTAGTAAAAATAGAAGTATGTTCATAAAAATTACTTAAATGTCCTAATTGAACTATGGCCTAATCCTGGTTTAGTCTAATCCCTGTCTGTGAAACCGGGCCTAAGATTTAGCATCATTACATCATAGGTGATTCACAGTTGTTCATTCTGTTGATGTGATATTATACCTTCCCAGAACCGCATGGAGGAGAGTAAGGCCCTTTTTAAGACAATCATCTCCTACTCCTGGTTCCAGGAGTCCTCTATCATCCTCTTCCTCAATAAAACAGATATCCTGAGGGAGAAGATCTCAAAGTCACATCTTGTAGACTACTTTCCACAATATACAGGTTGGAGTGCCAAAAACACAGCTAAAATCCTTTTCTTAACAAGCATCTTTGTTATATTTTTTATTGAAACAACATACATTTACATGAGAAGCAACACAGCATAAGGCTTGTTTTCATAGATAATTTGTCTTACCAAAACTGGCAGATTCATCACTTGTTTTAGGTATAAAAACATAAAATTTTAGTGAAGTGAAAAAAAAAAAACTGCCAGTACAGTGAGACAGTGCTATGGACCTTTTTCACATTTCCGGGTTTCCCAGCAGTGGAAGTCGTCATAGTTGGGTAAACTTCTAATACAAAGTAAAGTGTTATAAATGTACATGCAATTTAAAAAAAAATGAAAATATAAAAATTTTTGCAATGCTGATGCATTGATGCTGATAAAACACATCATCACAGTCATGTGAAAAGGGTCCATTGTATGAAAAAGAAACATTCTCTGACAAGTTGTATTTTGTGCTGTCAAATATATTAATATATGTAATTTATTGCAGTAGACATACTACAGAGCAGTGTTGGGGAAGCTAAAAAAAAAAGGTGTCCGTCTGAACCACTGTCTGCATCATTTTATTGATCTTAGTGTGCACAGACTTACTTAGTTCACCCCAAAATTAACATTCTGTCATCATTTCTTCACCCATGAGACATTTCATCACAAATGAAGATATTTTTAATATTCTTTCATCATTTTTGTCCATCCATTGAAGGTCCACTGGACCAAACGTTTCATGCATCAACAAAATACAGAAGAACTGAAAATGCTGTTAGTTCCTTCCCAACACTGCTCCAGTGTTTTTTGCTTGCCACTAAACTCTACTGAAATGATGCAATCTATGTTATCTGCTCATTCCACAGGCCCTAAAAATAATGCAGATGCCGCAATGAAGTTCATCTTGAGTATTTATGAGGAGCAGAACACGGACACACATAAAAGCATCTATGCACATTTCACCTGTGCAACCGACACTGAAAATATCCGCTTCGTTTTTGAAGCAGTGAAAGACACCATTCTGCGGAACAACCTGTCCGACTTTAACTTATTGAGTTAAATGACAAAAGGGCTTTTATATACGGTTATATTGAATGTTTTTCACCTCTGATTCAGTGAAAATATGAATGTGATCTGTCTGTGAGTACTGGGATTATGGCAAAGTGCATTCTGTGAATTTAGCATGTAGCCTACTTGCGTTGCCTGGAAATTAAAGGGATAGTCCACCCCAAAAAAAAAGAAATATCTAATTTTGTGTTTTGCAGAAGAGAGAAAGTCACACAGGTTGGGGAAAAAATATGAGGGTGAGTACATGATAACAGAATTTTCATTTTTGGGTGAGTTGTCCATTTAAATTTGTTGTTAGGGACAATATGGAACAGATTTTCGGGGACATTTATTTAAATTTTTCCTTCATGAGGGCATTTTTCTAACCATCAATCAAAATCCATATTATGCTTTATAGGCCCAGATTTGAAAAGAATACAATTCATCAAATGTTCTATGACAACACAAAAACCAATTCAATAATTATTATTATATGACATTTCTGACCCTGCCATCTTCCCATCCATAACCTATCCATGAACTTCCCAGTGAGCTAAATCTACTCCAAAGACAAACCTTAAAATCTGTGGTATCAGGTAAACGGTATCGGCTATATTTTCATGTGGCCATCTTAGTGAATATCTGCCATATTATATTCTATTTCTACACAAGATTTGAATGAAATATGAATTAAGACAGGCTGCCATAAAAGACAGACTTTGAATCCATGCAAATCAATTGTAGCCACTGTCTTTGCTATTCAAATAGTTCCCCAACACTTTCATGGATACAAGAATGATACTTCAGTACAGATAGTTTCAAGTCTCTACTCTCTAAATAACACGTGTTTGTAAATATTTACTGTATGTACGGTAACAACTTCTAGTGTGAGTCTTTAGGTAGAAGCTAAACTGATGTGACACTTTAGTATGTCATTAAACTGTTATTTATTTTTGCAACAGATGCAATACAGTATGTTAGTGAGCAAAAAATATATACTGTATGTGCCAAAACATGCCATCATATTTTTTGAAAATAATTTTTAAAAACTAAAATTTGTCTGAAAATTGATTGAAATTTCAATAAAAAATTTCCATCTAAAATGTATTGCATGAATACATCACAAACATCATCAGATAAAAGTTCAGATTTTCTTCCATGCTACTTTTATGTTCTTAAAGATTTATTGTATAGCATATCAGTGTTTTTTTATTCTTTGACTAATGCTCTGATCTCCTAAGTGACATCAAAGCAAACTCAGCTGGTGTTAACACAGATTTTCTTGTATTATTTATACATTGTTAGTAACAAAAATCGACTAAATAAATAATGTGGGAAATAGTAAGCAAGATAAAAACCCAGTGGGGACACCAGCAAGATTCCATTCCTTTTCTAACAGCAGTCTGTTCATGTGCACAATGTTATTGTTTTTTTTTTCTGTATTAAGTCCTAAAATATTTGTATACAATTATGATTGTATGATTTTAACTGTGAATCCACAAAAAAAAAAGCATTTAAATGTGTGTATGTGTTTGCTTTTGAGTGCTGAGATTGTTCAGCATAGCTAAAGAGCGATTCTATAACTCCAGCAGTGATTTATAACTTTACACTTAGTTATGTCAGGTGTGGCACAGTTGCCGTAGCGATGAACATTGGACCAAACACTTTTTGAGTAAGAGGTCATAGAGCACCTCCCATTGCTTCCTTTAACACTTACAAGAGACTCGCAACAGAAAGCTGGTGAGTAGCCGAACACACAACACAGTTTTCTCAACACTGTGGAGATCTTAAATCATAGAACATGACAAATCATAATAGAGCAGGAAACAACAGAGCTTGTCAATTTTACCTTGTGGTTTCAGGTGTAATCTCATTTATGGACACATTGACAGAGCAGATTCAACATAGTGAATCTTTATGGGTGATCAAGCGAATGATCACCTGAGAGCACATGGCTGTTTACAGTATAAGGCATAGTGACCACAATACTGTATATGATTTGAGTATATGCATTTACAGAATGGTTATGACCTCGTTTTAGTTTAGAGACTACATGGAATATTTGTAAAAATGATTAGTTACACTGTAGTATACTGTAGAACTGTGAAAAAGTTAAAGGGGTCATATGATGCGATTTCGTAATTATGTCCCCACTGGATGCTACAAATGCCTCGTTTATAATGGGTTTTAATGTATTTGTCTTGTCGCGCCGGCCCGGGACACGGCATCACAATATGTTAAGGTGCGTAACATTTCCGTCTCACGCTTGAGGTATTCGGCCAATCACAACGCACTGGATAGCTGGCCAATCAGAGCACACCTCGCTTTTCAGACCGTTGAGCTTTGTAAAAATTTACGCATAGAGGAGAAACAATAATGTACAGTATGTGGAAAATAACGTGTTTTTTGAACCTTAAACCGCATAAACACATCTCATTACACCAAATACACAAAATAATGTTCTTTTTAGCAGCATCATATGACCCCTTTAACAATACTGGAAAACATGGAAAGGAAAGCATCATAATATACACTTTCCCTTATATTTCTTTCTTAACATTAACCTTAACATAACAACGTCATTCCAATTACTGTTTGATTTAGTCTGTCTAGACATAATGGTTAATTTACTACCAATACTACCATGATGTAAAAAATAACAATAATAGTAAATAATTTATAATTATTTTCACAATAAAGTAAAAAGAATGATTTTGCAATGAAAATGTGAAAATTGTCACGAAAATAATGTAATAATGCATCTTAGTGATCCTTATGCTTCAATTTATTTATACATTCTTTTTAAACTTTGGGGTGAAATATGAAACTGACATGGCAGGGTTTATGAGACACACACTGTAACGTTGCAGAGACGAGATGAGGCAAACAGAGGTGAGGATCTACATGCAGGAGTTTAAAGGGGTCATATGATGCTTTTTTAAAGATCATTATTTTGTGTATTTGGTGTAACAGAATATGTTGACATGCTTTAATGTTCAAAAAACACATTATTTTTCAAATACTGTACATTATTGTAGGTCCTCTATGCCCCGCCTCAAATAAAGTGCTTTTGCTTTCGTCTAGAAACACACAGCGTCTCCCTGACATGGCTGTTTCAACACTAACTGCGGTTACTGAAACCACGCCTTTTTTCTTTGCGTGCACATTTGGGCGGCATTATGGTAATATTTCCACATAGTGAGGTAGATATGTGGGGGCGTGTTAGAACGAGCCGTTTTAGGGGGGCGTGGCAGAGTCTTAACTTTGATAAAGAATATCTCTTTGGTTTTGAGACTTTAGTCTTTGCAACTTCAGGGATCTTATCTATGCACAATCAGCTTGTAACACTCCAAAGAGAAAGGAAAACTTGAAATCGCATCATATGACCCCTTTAATAAAAATTCAGGAACCAACAAGTAATCCAACATGGGTAAAACAAGGAACTTCGACAAGGGCAGGGAGCAACCATCACAGACATTAAACAACTGACAAAGACTTCATGAAACACTGGGCTATTTATACACAGAGATGCAAACAGGATAACAAGACACACCTTGGAAAGGAATCAAGACAAGCAATGAAACAATAGGACTACAAGTTGACTACGAAATGGCACTCTAGACAGGAAGTAACTCAAAAGTCCAAACACAAGACAGGGGACCACCGGCAAGATCATGACACACACACACACACACACACACACACACACAGACACACAGACACAC